GTCCCAACCCCTCGGGAGGCTGAGGCAGGAGAATGGCATGAACCTGGGGGGCAGAGTTTGCAGTGAGCCGAGATTGCGCCACTGCGCTCCAGCCTGGGCGACAGAGCGAGACTCCGTCTCAAAAAGTAATAATAATAATAATAATTATTATTATAATTATTATATTATATATATATATAATTATTATTATTATTATTTCCCACATTCCCTACAATTGTAAGGTCTTTCCCCAGTGTGAAGTCTCTGGTGTTCAGTGAGGTGGGATCTGTATCTAAATGATTTCCCACACTCCCTGCACTCATAAGGCCTTTCTCCGGTGTGACCTCACTGATGTTGAATGAGGTTATTCTTTTGACCAAAAGATTTTCCACATTCTCCACACTCATAAGGCCTTTCTCCAGTGTGAACACGTTGATGGTTAATAAGGCTGCCCTTCTGACTGAGGTACCGCAATCCACCTCTCCCACACACCCATCCTTGCCCATCCTCCTCCCAAGGTCCCCAGCAGAGTTGAAACTGTGTCTGCTGGTGCCTTTGTCTCTTCATGGGCTCCCTGGTCAATTGCCATCAGCAATAAACAGTAAGGGGACAAATAGGTATCCATGCTGAGGTCCGGACATAAAAAGGTCCACCCCCTTCTGAAAAGCGATATCCAAGCTCAGGGAAAGCCCAGGGCAGCTGCCTGAGCCCATCGGACAAACTTGCTCTCTAAGTATATATCATTCTTTATACTGCACAGACACATGCCCATGGCCACCCCCACCTGAGTTTTCCCTACCATCAGCCCCTCTCTGGCATCCCCACAAGTAAAAGTTTGTATTTTGGGGTTTTTGAGACATAGTCTAGCTCTGTCACCCAGGCTGGAGTGCAGTGGCGCGATGTTGGCTCACTGCAGCCTCTGCCTCCCAGGTTCAAGTGATTCTCAAACCTCAGCCTCCTGAGTAGCCGGGACTACAGCCGCGCACCACTACATCTGGTTCATTTTCTTATTTTTTTACTAGAGACAAGGTTTCACCATGTTGGCCAGGCTGGTCTTTAACTCCTGGCCTCAAGTGGTCTACCCGCCTTGGCCTCCCAAAGTGCTGAGGTTACAGGTGTGGGCCACCGTGCCCAGCCCCCACAAATAAAATTATTTTGTAAGATGAAGAGGGCATAATGGTCCATGATTCCCTTGGAAATATGCAATGGTTTGTTTCCATAACTCTGCTGGTAGGGATGGAATTGAAACCCACTACAAAGTATAACAACCTGGGACCTGAAGGGGGTCTGCCCCTCCACACCTGTGGGTATTTCTCACAAGGTGGAGACAAGAGACTGATAAAAGAAATAAGACACAGAGACAAAGTATAGAGGAAGAAAAGTGGGCCCAGGGGACTGGCGCTCAGGAAGTGAGGACATGCACCGGAACTGGTCTCTGAGTTCCCTCGGTATTTATTGATCACGATCACTAGCTCTACTATATCGGCGAGAGGGATGTGGCAGGACTATAGGGTAATGGTGGGGAGAGGGTCAGCAGGAAAACGTGAGCAAAGGACTGTGTGTCATAAATAAGTTTAAGGACAGGTGCTGTGTCTGGATGTGTACGTAGGCCAGATTTATGTCTGACTTTACACAAACATCTCAGTGTGGTAAACAGCAGTACTGCTGCCAGCATGTCTCACCTCCAGCCATAAGGTGGCTTTCTCCTATCTCCATAAATAGAATATACGAGTGGGTTTTACACCGAGACATTCCATTCCCAGGGATGAGCAGGAGACACATGCCTTCCTCTTATCTCAACTGCAAAGAGGCCTTCCTTGTTGGGGTCCGTGCCGGGGGTGGTGGAGAATGAAAGAACACACAAAAGACAAAGACACACAGAGAACATGGCGGCCGCGCTCAGAGCCTCCGCCTCACTTTATTTATACTCCATAAACCCCACGTCAGCAGAAAGAATGCAATGCAAAACAAACTTTCTTTTCCCAGATGTAACCTTCTACTCAGTTCTTTGTTTCTATGCTCTTCCTTATCTGCCCGCCTTCTTGGCGCCTACGGGAGTTCATTAAAAGTTCAATTGGAGATACTGTCCTTGAGCCCTATCTATTCTCAGCATACTGTTTTCAAAGGCCCCTGCATTCCTCTTTCACTAATCCTCCTCAGCACAGACCCTTTATGGGTGTCGGGCTGGGGGATAGTAAGATGTTTCCCTTCCCATGAAGTCATATCTCAGACTGTCTCAGTGGGGGGAAACCTTGGACAATACCTAGGCTTTCTTGGGCAGATGTCCCTGCGGCCTTCCACAGTGCATTGTGTCCCTGGGTACTTGAGACTGGAGAATGGCGATGACTTTTACCAAGCATACTGCCTGCAAACACATTTTTACCAAGGCACATCCTGCACAGCCCTAAATTCAATACAGCACATTTCTGCGAGCACAGGGTTGAGGTTAGGGTTACAGATTAACAGCATCTCAAGGCAGAAGAATTTTTCTTAGTACAGATCTAAATGGAGTTTCTTATGTCTTCCTTTTTCTACATAGACACAGTAACAGTCTGATCTCTCTCTTTCTTTCCCCCACAGGAACCCTGCCTCATCGCCTTGATAAAAAAGGGTAGTTAGGCTAGGATACATTATCCAAGAGAGCAAAGTGGGAATGAGATTTGTACTCACACCTTTTAAGGTTGTCCCACTGTCACAAGGTGTCAAAGTGACACATCATATTGGGCCTTCAATTCTGGCCTTATACCAAAATGTGGATATTATCTAGAGTATGCTTGACAAATACAAATAGGATCCAATATTAACACAGAATTTCCACGGTATCCAAGAGTAGTGGTAATCCCAAATCATCCTGTGAATGTCTCCCTGAGTGACTCCATAGCCACACAGAACCACATGTGGCTTCAGATATCCACGGCCCTATCCCACTTCTGTGCTGCACAAGCTGAGACCTCAGCTGTAGCAACCCTCCTCTGTCCACCTAATGCCGTTTAAAGCCCAGCCCCTGGATTTGTGAACCAAACCAAATCTACTATCACAGATGAGCATATTTTTCACTGCCCATATGCACCAGGCTGAATGAAACTCCCCAGGCACTCCCAAAGTCCTCTAAAAACGTTTGTGAGTCCAGACAGTGATAAATAGTTACAACTTTGGCACCAATGTGTCCTAAATGTCATCTTCCCTGAATTATTACTATGCTTCTGCATACATCTATCTCTTGTCTGTTCTCTCCTTGGATGTCTATGTCCCCTTCCAAACTCTACCGTCTGACACGTCCTGCCATGATGGTCACTCACACCCTCTCAGGTGTTTAGGAAGCCCAATAACATCCCTCGGGGACGTAAGAGATCCACTCCTCAGCCTGTAATCACACCTTTCTGGCCCCTGAAAAGATTTACCACCATAATCGGAAGCATGTCCTCCTAAGTGGGACCCATAACTAACTTACCGTAGTTCACCCATTAGCTTTCATATATTGGACATCTCCAGTATCAACACCCTCCCAGACACCCCATCCTGTATGTCTAGTTATCCCTTTGATGCCACCACTTATTGGCCTCAGATTCTTCATATGGTCAAACAACCCTCTTGATATCCACAGTGAATATTATGTCAATACCAACTTCATCTTAGCTGACACAGCGTCCATGGTTACAGCTGCAAAGATCAAAAGCCTTTGGGCTCATGTCCGATTCCTCTTTCATGTCCTTATCATCAACATTAGAAAACCTATCTGTCGGCCAGGCGCGGTGGCTCAAGCCTGTAATCCCAGCACTTTGGGAGGCCGAGACGGGCGGATCACGAGGTCAGGAGATCGAGACCATCCTGGCTAACACAATGAAACCCCGTCTCCACTAAAAATACAAAAAAAAAAAATTAGCCGGGCGTGGTGGTGGCGCCTGTAGTCCCAGCTACTCGGGAGGCTGAGGCAGGAGAATGGCGGGAACCCGGGAGGCGGAGCGGAACCCGGGAGGCGGAGCTTGCAGTGAGCCGAGATCGCGCCACTGCACTCCAGCCTGGGCGACAGAGCGAGACTCCGCCTCAAAAAAAAAAAAAAAAAACAAAAAACAAAAAACAACCTATCTGTCTGCCAGGTACGGTGGCTCAGGCCTGTAATCCCAGCACTTTGGGAGGCCGAGGCGGGCGGATCACGAGGTCAGGAGATGGAGACCATCCTGGCTAACACGGTGAAACCCCGTCTCTACTAAAACTACGCAAAATTAGCCGGGTGTGGTGGCAGACGCCTGTAGTCCCAGCTACTGGGGAGGCTGAGGCAGGAGAATGAAGTGAACCTGGGAGGCGGAGCTTGCAGTGAGCCGAGATCGCGACACTGCACTCCAGCCTGGGCGACAGAGGGAGGCTCCCTCTCAAAAAAAAAAAAAAAAAAAAAAAAAAAAAAAAGCATGACCCCATTTAGGGGTCATGCAGCTTCTGGCTCCAAGAGTCTGAACCTTCCCAAGTTGCTCCTGAAGATAACATCCTACTGTAAAAGCTAAGATCAGTGCTTGAGGTATTTTGCAGATTCTGCACTGGATGGATCAGTTGACAAGACACAGACCGGTAATCTGGGTCAATCAGTTCTCCCATCCCACCCAGAACAGAAAACAGCATGAAAAACTCACTTCAACCCCCTATGAATCCATCTCCAACCTGACCGATCAGCACTCCCCACTTTCCAAGCCACTACCCGCCAAATTAATTTTGAAAACTCTGATCCCGGAATGCTTGGGGAGACTGATTTGAATAATAATAAAACTCCTGTCTCCCGAACAGCCAGACGGCTCTGCGTGAATTACTATTTCTCCACTGCCATTCCCCAGTCTTCATAAACCGGCTCTGTGTAGGCAGCTGGCAAGGTGAACCCACTGGACGGTTACACCGGGACCCCTCCTGCGAGCGCCTCAGTGTCCCTACGCCAGGTACCGGCTACAGACCCGTGAGCAGGAGCCCCTCCCTCGCTGGTTTAGGACCTGGGTGACGATGAGGTGACCTGAGGGCACAGAAGGCGCCACAATTACCTGAGTTTGGCGCCTCGGCACAGCCGCTGCCATCGGACTACTTGGGGAAGCACGGCCTAGGAGCAGTGGGAGCCGCCACAGGACTGCAGAGCGGCCTCTGGGCACCAAGGACGATTCCTCTCCACCTTCGGGGTTCAGTCACCGCGGCCCCACCTAGCAGACCCAGGCCACTCACTGGACAAACACGCGCATCGTGGATCAACTTGGCCGCTACTGAAGGACCCCGGAAGTACCGGCCCTACGTTAGGTGCACACACGGAAATGCCTCCCTTCCGAGCCCTCATTGGCTCTGACGCACTGTCCTTCAACGCAGAGCTTTCTGGGTATTGTAGTTCAACAAGTTCCAAGGCAGTAAAGAGAGCGCTACCCAGAGGCGCATTTGCGGGAAAAGCCCGCCGTCAGGTCAGGGGCTTTCCTTAAAAGCGCGCCCTTCCGGGGCAGAGGACGGGCCTCACCTAGCCTTAGAAACCGTAACTGAGATTCCTGGAGACTAGTGTCTGTAACTAATCACTCAAGAATTGGAAAAATACTATTTCAGATTTCGGGGAGCTCAAGCTAAATAATAGGAAGCTCAAGCTAAAACTATTATTTAGAATTCTCCCAAAGGCTAAAAATCCAAATTACCTCACCGTTTGAAACAGTCATTCAGTCGTAAAATACCTACACTGGAAGCAGAGGCTGATAAACGTTATTGTGTTATAACGTTTCTGAAGGCCCTCAGAAGCATTAGAGTCCCTAAGGCAAATCAAGAAAGTGAGAGATGTGCTCCCCTAAAGCAGGAGTTCAAAGTTGAATCTCTGTGATTCCTACAAAAAACAACTCTCCTGCTCATAGAATCTGTGAAAGGAAAATCTTGTGGCCTCAAAAATTACTAAACTAAAGGGAAAAGTCAATCTGGGAACTGCTCAGGGCAAACTTGCCTCCCATTCTATTCAAAGTCATCCCTCTCCTCACTGAGATAGATGCATATTCTCATTGCCTCCTTTGGAAAGGCTTATCAGAAACTAAAAAGAATGCAACTATTGGCGGGAGGCAGTAGCTCACGCCTGTAATCCCAGCACTTTGGGAGGCCGAGGCAGGCAGATCACGAGGTCAGGAGATCGAGACCATCCTGGCTAACATGGTGAAACCCCGTCTCTAACAAAAACACAAAAAATCAGCCGGGCGTAGTGGCAGACGCCTGTAGTCCCAGCTACTTGGCAGGAGAATGGAGTCAACCTGGGAGGGGGAGGTTGCAGGGAGTCCAGATCCCACTACTGCACTCTAGCCTGGGCAACAGATCGAGACTCCCGTCTCAAAAAAAAAAAAAAAAAAATGCAACTATTTGTCTCTCACCTACTTGTCCCCGCCTTTCTGGTCAGAACCAATGTACTTCTTACATATATTCACTGATGTCTCATATCTCCCTAAAATGTATAAAACCGGCCGGGCACCGTGGCTCAGGCCTGTAATCTCAGCACTTTGGGAGGCCGAGGTGGGCGGATCACGAGGTCAGGAGATCGAGACCATCCTGGCTAACACGGTGAAACCCCGTCTCTAGTAAAAATACAAAAAAAAAAAAAAAAAAAAAAAAAAAAATTAGCCATCATGGTGGCAGGCGCCTGCAGTCCCAGCTACTCAGGAGGCTGAGGCAGGAGAATGGCGTGAGCCTTGGAGGCGGAGCTTTCAGTGAGCAGAGATGGCGCCACTGCACTCCATTGCAGGCGACAAAGGGAGAATGGATTCATTTACGACTGTAATTAAGACTATTTGAAATGTTAATTGCTCATCTGGGCATTTATTTTCTATTGGGCATACAGCTTGGGGAGGTTTGAATTCCAACTACCTAAATTTGATTGTCTATGTACTTATTACCATAAACGTTATTACTATTTTTTTTTTTTTTGCGATGGAGTCTTGCTCTGTCGCCCAGGCTAGAGTGCAATGGTGCGATCTCGGCTCACTGCAACTTTTGCCTTCCATGTTCAAGCTATTCTCCTGCCTCAGGTTCCTAAGTAGCTGGGGCTACAGGTGCCCACTACCACGTCGAGATAATTTTATTGTATCTTTAGAAGAGAGGTGGTTTCACCATGTTGGCCCGGCTGGTCTTGAACCCCTGACTTTGTGATCTGCCTGCCTCAGCCTTATAAGTGTTATTTCATCCTGAAAGTTTATTTCCTTGTGAATCAGGATTGCCCCAAATTGCAGCATAATTTAAATAAAGTATTGTCTGCTCACAAGTAAGATGTAGAACAGATATCCTCATTTGTCCAGTCCAGGATGCAGGAGGGAGCTTTGTGGTGACAGCTGACTGTGGCTATCCTAACAGAAACACACAGCTATATAAGGCCCAAAGTTGCCACGGACCTTGCTGGACTTAACAAAGGGGGATGAATGCAGGAATAAAAAAAAGACAAAAGTGTGTATTTGGAAAAAGGGGTCGGGGGCTCCTTGCTTCTAGTGAACAAGGGCCCTGAGCTTTTAGCACCCTTCATATTTATTGAGTAAAAGAGATAGAGAGAAGGGGGGTGGGTGTTGGTCAGCAGCTTCTCTCGCTTTACGATGTCTTATTTTTCCTCCCTCTGGTTGATGAAATGCCAGGGTGGAAGGGATAGCCAATTGGACCAAGTACAAGTGCCACTCCAGTTATTCAGCAGAGTGTCCAGTAAAGGTCCACCACAATACCACCACACATCCGTTTGGGGATGAACAAGGGCTGACTGATTGATGAGCTCTTGAAAATTCTTTTTTTTTTTTTTTTTTAGAGACAGAGTCTCGCTCTGTTGCCCAGGCTGGAGTGCAGTGGTCGAATCTCAGCTCACTGCAGCTCTGCCTCCCGGGTTTATGCCATTCTCCTGCCTCAGCCTCCCAAGTAGCTGGGACGACAGGTGCCCACCACCTCGTCCCGCTAGTTTTTTTGTATTTTTTAGTAGAGACGGGGTTTCACCCTGTTAGCCAGGATGGTCTCGATCTCCTGACATTGTGATCCGCCCGTCTCGGCCTCCCAAAGTGCTGGGATTACAGGCCTGAGCCACCGCGCTCGGCCTTGAAAATTCTTATGTTCACTGCATCCCTTCAGGTCTCCAAGGAACGCTAAGTTTCCTCCCTGTTGTGAGAGACACGAAGTGAACTTAGCATTGGGCGATGGAAGCTGGATGGCCCTCGGGGGCTGACCCGTAGGGTGCCAGACTTTGGGATATAGCAGAGAGAACATGGCACGACTTATTACTCCAGGCTGTAGAATCCTGAAAAAAAGCTACCATGCAGCCCACACCTGGTTGACTGGAGGACCACCTTAGTGGAAAGGGGACAATCTGGGCCTCTGGCCTACCATGTGCACAAGCATAACAATTGCTTTTGTTTAACATGTGGATGGAATATTTGATCCATTCCAACCAGGCATTTGCATCTTGGTATCCTGTTTTAATTGCCAAAGTTTGTTTTAAGTCTTTAACTTTTATGATCCTCTAGTAAAATGAATGTATGATTTTAGGAAATTACAAAAACCAGTTGGGGCCATCCATCCTTGCTCTTTAGTGGTCCACAGAACGTTTGACCAACTATGGCATAAAAGCTCTCCACTGGGGGCAAGACTCCTGGTTGACACTGGGGTCTTTATTGAAATCTACCTGGATTAAATGGTCCTGGTTTACTAATGCCCAGTCTGAGGAGAGTCAGGAGGGACAGAAGTACTTTTCTGAAGTAGAGAGCTGTCTTTGACTTGGCAAGTCCCCAAGGGTATAACAAGGCAAGCATTAAATGCAATAGTTTGAGGTGAAATTGATTTGGTTATGTTAATAACTAGATGGCCAGCAATAGAGCGAGGAAAGAAGAAAGAGTAATAGAATAGATGAAAGCGTTAAATTTTTCTTAGCTTTAGTTTGGTAAGGTTTTCCCCTGGGACTGTGGCCCACAAGTCCGGAGGGCATGGAGCTTTGACTTGGGTATGATGAGTCCATTCCTTTTCCACTCTACAAACAGCAGTCTTGGTGGTTAACAGCACAAGGTAGGGTCCTTCCTAGTCTGGCTCGAGTTTTTCTTCTTTCCACCTTTTGATGAGAAACCTTTCCACCTTTTCCACCTTCTTCCCACCTTTGATCTTCAGGCTGGTGCTGGTTTACTGGAAATTCTAGGGGGTGGTACCTGCGCTAAAAGACTTTTAGTTTTGAGGGAAAGTAAAGTGGAAGATAAACCAAGTATATAATTTCTAAGAAATTGACCTTTTGTTTTAAATGTGAGGACGGACATCAGCAGTGGACTTTATAGTTCTTGGTGACTTTCTACTGAGGAATTTCCTTAAGACCTATTTTTATTAGTTTTTAGACTAAAGAAGTCAAACACTATTTTATATCTGACAATGCTTCCTGTATGATTGATTGATTGAGATGGAGTTTCAGATGTCCAGACTCCAAGTGCCAGTTCCTTCCCAATGTTCAGCCACTGCGTTGATCCTCCATGGGGGCCTGCCACGCACTGCTCTGGCAAGGTGTTCCACCCGGGCAACTACCTACCTGGGATCGCTCCCAGGATCCGCGTCCCTCAAGCTTGGCCAGAGTCCCCTGTAGGGATGCTCCAAAGGGCAGGACTCAGCTTCCTAAGGGGCTGCCTCGACCATCCGTTAATCACCTTGCTTCCTGGTCAAGCAACCAAGAAATGTAGCAGGACAAGCCGCAGACAAAACCCGTCAGACGCTGAGTTAAAGAGGGAAGGGTTTTATTCAGCCGGGAGCTATGGCAAGACTCACGTCTCCAACAACCAAGCTCCCCAAGTGAGCAATCCCTGTCCCTTTTAAGGGCTTACAACTCTAAAGGGGTCCGCGTGAGAGGGTCGTGATCGATTGAGCAAGCAGGGGGTATGTGACTGGGGACTGCACACACTGGTAATCAGAACTGAACAGAACAGGACAGGGATTTTCACAACGCTTTTCCATACAGTGTCTGGAATCTATAGATAACATAACCGGTTAGTTCAGGGGTTGATCTTTAACCAGACCCAGGGTGTGGCGCCAGGCTGTCTGCCTGTGGATTTCATTTCTGCCTTTTAGTTTTTACTTCTTTCTTTGGAGGCAGAAATTGGGCATAAAACAGTATGGGGGTGGTCTTCTCCTTTAACAGCACAAATGCTTAATTAACTTTTCTTTTGAGACAGGGTCTGTTGCCCAGGCTGGAGTGCAGAGGTGCAGGTATAGCTCAGTGCAGCCTGGACCACCTGGGCTCAATCATTCCTGCCACCTCAGCCTCCCAAAATTTGGGATTATAAGCGCGCGCCACTGTGCGGGGTCAGGACTCCTCCCTGAGAGCCCAGGAGATGGAGCTGGGCTTTCCCTTCCGAAGAGCCGCAGGGGATCGCTCTTTTTACCATGTTGGAACCTGGGAAACTACAGTACCCAGAAAGCTCTGCGTCAAATGACAGCACGGCAGAGCCAGTGAGAGCTCAGATTGAAGGCGCTTCCGTATGCGCACGTACGGTAGAGGCGGGACTCCTGGCGCCCTTTAGTAGCGGCCATTTCGATTGGCTTTAGGTGTGTTTGTGGAATGAGAGGCCTGGGATCGCTGTGGAGGGACGGTTGTGGTGAATGGATCCAGAAGGTCCAGAGTCTCTGCACAGACTTAACTCTGCAGCTCTTTAGGGCGCCCGCGGCTCTCAACCCAGCTTACCCCACGTGGTCCCATGGCGGCCCCCGCTCTGAGGTTCCCGGTTCAGGTAATTGTGACGCCTTCCGTGCTCTCCGGTCACCTCGTAGTCACACAAGTCCTAAAGCAGCGAGGGAGCGGCATCTGCTCACGGCTCTGCAACCCGGACCTGGCGTCGGGACACTGAGACGCTCTCGGAAGGGATCCCTGTTTCAGACACCGGTGGGATGCGGTGGGGAGAACGACAGGTACAGGGAGGGGCGAGGGCAATGGCCTGGAGATGGACGGATCCGGGAGGATGGAACCTGGGGTCCACAGGCGCCTGTAGGGAACAACCTGTGAGGCGGAACTCCTCCTGGAAAAGCAAAGAGGCTGGGGGCTGTGAAATCATTGCGAGGACACTGGAAATATGGAGAATTTCCAAGAAAGAAGGGACTGGATCAAAGTCCGGGCTTTTAAAGTTCCCCAAGGCCAAATAAAGAACAGAGTAGAGAGAGGATGACGTTGGGGCCCTTTGAGACCGAATCCTTGTAGATCACATTTTGTGCTGAGACACGCAGGTCAGACAACAGTCCAAGGTCACCTGGCTCCATGCACACAAAAGCGTTCAGGGAGGCCTGAGCTTACCAGATCCTATCAGGGACACAGTCCTGTAAAGTCAGCCTCTCCCCTCAGGTCCTTATGGCTGTAGAAGCGTTTAAGGAACGCATACAAGAAAGTGGAGGGTGTGGCCGGGTGCGGTGGCTCACTCCTGTAATCTCAGCACTTTGGGTAGCCTAGGCGGGCGGATCACCTGAGGTTGGGAGTTAGAGACTAGCCTGACCAACCATGAAGAAACTCCGTCTCTACTAAAAATACAAAATTAGCCAGGCGTGGTGGCGCATGCCTGTAATCCCAGCTACTTGGGACGCTGAGGCAGGAGACTCGCTTGAACCTGGGAGACGTAGGTTTCCGTTAGCCAAGATCGCGCCATTGCACTCCAGCCTGGGCAACCAGAGCGAAACTCCGTCTCAAAAAAACTAAAGAAAGAAAGAAAGTGTAGGGTGTTCTACTCCCTCACTGGTCCTGACTTCTATCCACATGTTCTCTAGCTTGTGGTGGCCTGGGTCTTTTTAAAATTTACTTTAATATGGCCGGGCGCGGTGGCTCACGCCTGTAATCCCAGCACTTTGGGAGGCCGAGGCGGGCAGATCACGAGGTCAGGAGATGGAGACTATCCTGGCTAACACGGTGAAACCCCGTCTCTACTAAAAATACAAAAAATTAGCCGGGCGTGGTGGTGCGCGCCTGTAGTCCCAGCTACTGGGGAGGCTGAGGCAGGAGAATTGCGTGAACCCGGGAGGCGGAGCTTGCAGTGAGCCGAGATCACGCCACAGCACTCCAGCCTAGGCGACAGTGGGAGACTCTGTCTCAAAAAATAAATAAGTAAATAAATTAATTTTTAAAATTTTTTTGAGACAGGTTCTCACTCTGTCGCCCAGGCTGGAGTGCAGTGGCGCGATCTCTGCCCACTGCAGCCTCGACTTCCCTGGTTCAGCCTCCTGAGTAGCTGGGGCTGCAGACGTGCAGTACCATGCCCGGCTAAATTTTTATTTTTATATTTTATTTATTTTTATTTTTAAGTAGAGGCGGTGTTTCTCTGTGTTGTCCAGGCTGGCCTCAAACTTATGGGATCAAGCGATCCACCCACCTTGGCCACCCAAAGTGCTGAGCTTACAGGCCTGAGCCAGCACACCTGGCCCTGGGACTCTTAAGTGGTGTTTTTTCAGACATTTGATCTGGGAACCTTGTAGAAACCCGAAGGCCAAGGTCCTAACTCCATGACACGTTGTATGGAGGTATTCCCATTCCAGTGAACCTGTGTAAATACACTTAGAAGGTTAACCCTGTATTTTGTGCCAGGAAGCAAAATCCTTAGAGGTAAGACTGATGAGAGCGGGGAGTTGATGTTACTAAAGTTCTGTTTGGCTCCACACTGGAGAACAGAATGTGGAGTTGAGGGAGGAGGAAGGAAGATCAACGTTGAGGCTAATTCCATAATCCAGGTGAGGGTTAATGAACAATTCATGGCTAAGAAGATGTGGCTGGATTCACTATTCACATTTTGCAAAGGGGAAGCTAGATTTTAATATGATGGTAAATGTGTGAAAGAGAGGTTTCAGGTATGACCCCATAGTTTTTGGTCTTAGCAGCTGTACTGATAGAGGCTGTATCAGCTGAGATGAGCAAATTGACAGTAGGCATAACATTCACTGGGGTTATAAGGAGGGTTGTTAAGAATCTGAGATGATTCAGAGACCAGTAAGTAGAGGCAACAAGTCAGTAATGTCCACATAGGTTGGGATATCTGGAAACAAACTGATATTGGGGCCATGCAATATATAGAAATGAACGTATGGACTAAGGTGAGTTAGCCAAGGGTCACGTTTAGGAGGGCACACTTCAGATTAATGTGGTAAATCTTTTAGCGGGCCAGGAAGCAGTGATTAGAGACTGAGGACTGGATTCCTTGCTTGGATCCCTAGCTGACATTATTGTCATTCATAAACACAGAACAGGGAGATAAGTGACAAAGAAGGTAAGCTGTATCTGACAGCATACTTTGTCAGGGGACATGGACTTCCATGGAGATAATAGACATGATATGCATTCAGAAGTATAGGAGTAATTGAGGGAAGGTGACACTTAGACTGCAGTTGGTGCTTATTTCCCATTGTATGCACTTGCCAAGATTGTGACATAACTATGTTGGTGCCTGGGGAGTTTCATTCACCATGGAGTATATGGTGAGGAGGAAATATGCTCATCTGTGACAGTCACTCGGCCTGGTATGGACGACCAGTGGGGCTTGGCTTTAAATGGTGTTAGGTGAAAACAGGAAGGTCATAATTGCTGAGGGGTCAGCAAGTGTGGCACAGAAGTGGAATAGCGCCACCGATATCTGAAGTCATGCATAGTTCTGCGTCGCTATGGAGCCATGCAAGGAGGCCTTCATAGAATCATTTGAGACTACCACTTCTTTTAGGATCCAATAGAAATGGAATTCTGTGGTGATACTGGATCCTGTTTGAGTTGGCCAAGCATAGTCTGGATGGTGTCAGCCATAATGTCATGTGAGCCCAAAAATGAAGGCCCAGTGTGATTTGCCACTTGGATATCTGGCGATATTGGTATGTCCTCAAATGACCTGAGTGCAAATTTCTTTCCCACTCTACTGTCTTTTTTTTTTTTGAGACGGAGTCTTGCTGTGTCACCCAGGCTGGAGTGCAGTGGCACAATCTCGGTTCACTGCAACCTCTGCCTCCCAGGTTCAAGCAATTCTCCTGGTTCAGCTTCCCAAGTAGCTGGAATTACAGGCACCCGCCACCATGCCCAGCTAATTTTTTTGTATTTTTAGTAGAGATGGGATTTTGCCATGTTGGTCAGGCTGGTCTCAAACTCCTGACCTCATGATCAGCCCGCCTGGGCCTCCCAAAGTGGTGGGATTACAGATGTAAGCCACCACGCCCAGTCCTCTATTATCTTAAGTAATGTAGCCTAAGAAATCTTTCCATCAGTGTGACCAGGTAGAGTTCCTGATTATTATACTTTGTAGTGTGTTTCAATTCCATTTCTATAACCAGAGTTATTTTAAGAAGCCAGTGGCATCCTTCTGAGGGAATTAGGTTTACACCCTTTTCATCTTAGAAAGCTTGCATTATACAATTCCTGGTTACTCTCTCTTATCCACAGTGAAACCCCTCTGTGGTGAGTGGTGTCCCTCTTACCAGTTTGTGAATATATTTTATTTTTAAACTGCTGTTAATGGCATCCATCGAGTATCAGTTGTCATTTATTTTACCCCTTTACAATATAACTCTAGTGGGAGATTTCCACCCACACTAGTAGAAGAAAAAGGAGGGCATTAATACTTCAAGTTGTTTAAAGGCTAGAGAGGCCAGTGGTGTGTGGCAGTCAGCTGGGGATGGACATGGATATGTACCTGGGAAGTCTAAAGAATGTGCTTTCAGAGAGGGTATCTCTGCTGTGCTGAAGGTGCCACATTGGGCTCTCCATGACCTCGGCCATTCTAGGGGAAGTGCCTGTCAGGAGGGGGTGAACTTTATGTCACAGCCAACACATAAATACCTATTTGTTCACCTAATTATTGTTGGTGGTGGCTGTACCCCATGACCAGTGGGACTAGTTTCTCCTATGATTTAAGGACCTTGAGAAGATGTATGAAAGTTGATGTGTGGGAGAGAGGGATTGTGATACCTCAGCATAGGGGCCGTTTGTAGTTTCATCTGTCAACGTCATAACAGGGCACAGTGACTTTTGAAGACGTGGCTGTGAACTTTACCCAGGAGGAATGGAATCTCCTTAGTGAGGCTCAGAGATGCCTGTACCGTGATGTGATGCTGGAGAACCTGGCACTTATATCCTCCCTGGGTAAGTTGCCCACACTCACCCCTGTGACCTGAGCTAGTCTCCGTCTTTCCCCCTCTTTTTCTTTTCTTTTTTTTTTTTTTTGAGACAGAGTCTTGCTCTGTTGCCCGGGCTGGAGTGCAGTGGCCAGATCTCAGCTCACTGCAAGCTCCGCCTCCCAGGTTCACGCCATTCTCCTGCCTCAGCCTCCCGTGTAGCTGGGACTACAGGCGCCCGCCACCACGCCCAGCTAGTTTTTTGTATTTTTTAGTAGAGACGGGGTTTCACCGTGTTAGCCAGGATGGTCTCGATCTCCTGACCTCGTGATCCGCCCATCTCGGCCTCCCAAAGTGCTGGGATTACAGGCTTGAGCCACCGCGCCCGGCCCTCCCCCTCTTTTTCTATTGGCAAGACTTTCTCATGTCAGGAGCATGGACACAGCTTCCTACTTCAGTTCTGTGGGTAATTTCTTGGTTGGTAGGACTGAGGTATGCATACTGCCCTCTCCATTCTTGGAGCAGCCCCAATACCTGCTAGTGAGCTCCCAGGGAGCTGTAGGCTCCCAGGGAAGAATTCAGAGTCAGAAGTCTTACAGGCATCTTAATGCAGGCTATCTTGTTTGTCCTGTGGATGTTTGTATGATTTCATCCAGATTTCAGGTTCAGGATCTCATTCATTCCTCTACCTGCTATTTCTTCATGCCTCCCTGTGCCAGGAATTGTCTTCATTGACATTGTCACTGCCTACATAGACTATAGAGTGTTCTTGAAATACCCTCCTTAGAAATTCTCTTCGTAGGTCTGGTGCGGTGGCTCATGCCTATAATTTCCGCACTTGGGGAAGCCAAGACAGGTGGATTACTTGAGGCCAGGAGTTTGAGAACAGCCTGGCCGACATGGTGAAACCCTGTCTCTACTGAAAATATAAAAATTAGCCAGGCATGGTGGTGCACGCTTGTAATCCTGGCTATTTGGGAGGCTAAGGTGGGAGGATTGCTTGAACCCGGGAGGCAGAGGTTGCAGTGAGCCAAGATTGTGCCACTGTGCTCCAGCCTGAGCAACAGAGCAAGACTCTGTCTCAAAAAAACAGAAATTTTGTAATATTTAGTTTCTTGTCTGCTGTCATGTGCTGAGCTGTTCTAAGCCAGTGTTGGCTGTTTCTGTGTTCTTTCTTTCCCTTTGTTCTTACATCATGTATTTCTCTTGTACTTGGTTATCTTGGTGGTGGGATCATCTTCTGTGGTCAGAAGATGCAAATGAATCCCACCTCAGCATTACGGGTTGTGAGTCCCTGCAGAATAGCATCCTAGAACAGTGGGGCATGATGTCAGAGTTTTATTCAAATCATGCCAGAAACCTATTCTAGTTCAGTAGTATTTTTGGGTCCAGACAAGTAGGCACATATGATTTCTGTATCGTCTTTTCTCCTTCATTCTTGTTTTTGGTTTTGTTTTTTGAGACAGGATCTTGGTCTGTTGCCCAGGCTGGAGTGAAGTAGCTTGATCTCGGCTCACTGCAACCTCTGCCCCCCGGGCTGAAGCAATTCTCCTGCCTCAGCCTCCTGAGAAGCTGGGAATACAGGTGCATGCCACTATGCCCAGCTAATTATTTTTTTTTTGAGACAGAGTCTCACTTTGTTGCCCAGGGTGGAGTGCAGTGGTGTGATCTTGGCTCACTGCAACCTCCGCCTCCTGGGTTCAAGCAATTCTTCTGCCTCAGCCTCCCGGGTAGCTGGGACTGCAGGCGCGTGCCACCATGCCTGGCTAATTTTTGTATTTTTAGTAGATACGGAGTTTCACCATATTGGCCAGGCTGGTCTCAAACTCCTGACCTCATGATCCGCCCGCCTCAGCCTCCCACAGTGCTGGGATTACAGGCATGATCCATTGCGCCAATGGATCCATGATCCATTACTGGCCTTCTCCATTCTTTTTTTTTTTTTGAGACAGAGTTTCACTCTTGTGGTCCAGACTGGAGTGCAATGGTGCCATCTCGGCTCACTGCAACCTCTGTCTCCCAGGCTCAAGCGATTCTCCTGCTTGAGTACCTGGTACTCAAGCCTCCTGAGTACCTGGGATTATAGTCATGTGCCACCATGCCCAGGTAATATTTTGTATTTTTAGTAGAGACAGGGTTTCTACATGTTGGTCAGGCTGGTCTTGAACTCCTGACCTCAGGTGATCTGCCCACCTTGGCCTCCCAAAGTGCTGGGATTACAGGTGTGACCCACGGTGCCCGGCCCTTTTCTTCCCTCTTCCCTCTCCTCTCCTCTCTTTTCTTTTCTTTTTTGAGACAGGTTCTCACACTGTCACTTGCTGTTACCTGGAGTGCAGTGGTGTGAATATAGCTCACTGCAGCCTCAACCTCCTGGGCTCAAGTGATCCTCCAGCCTCAGTCTCCTGAGTAGGTGGGACTACAGGTGCACGCCATCACACCTGGCTATGTTTGCAGAGAGGAGGTTTTGCTGTGTTGCCCGGGATGGTCTCAATCTCCTGAACTTGAGCAATCCCTTTGCCTTAGACTCCCAAAGTGCTGGGATTACAGGCATGAGTCACCACACTTGACCATTTTAAAAATAATTTCTGTAGTGATGGGGTCTCACCATATTTCCCAGGCTGGTCTTGGATTTCTAGGCTCAGGTGATCTTCCTACGTTGGGATTACAGCTGTGAGCCACTGCTCCTGGTCTCTTCCCCATTGTTAAGAGCATCAGAATTGTCAGTTGTACCCCTTTTTTTTTTTTAATGCTTTGTACATGAGCTTGTAGTCTGATATTTAGTCCCCCAAATAATCTTCATGTCTCTGGACCCCACATCTTAATTTTACTCACATCTTCATCTGCAGTGGTTTCCAGTATTAGCATACAGGTTTTGTGTTAGCAAATGGTACACTTTGTTAAACTGTCCTCAAGCAGTAGCTGCTGTGTTGTGCTCCTGTTTTCCTTGGCCTGGACAAATCCCTCTCTATAGCACTCACATGTCATGAGGACGTAAAGTTCTGCAGATGAGTGGTTTGCAGATGCAGGAATTGTGGACCCTGCCTTTACTCCCTGTGTTACATACATGGTTGTGTCCTTTACGTCATGAGGCCTCCTACATTCTGTGACCTTTAGAGTCCAGTAATAATAAATAGCACCATCTTCCACCTGAAGCCAACGTTCTGTTCCTCCAAGTATTTCCTTGGAGTAATTCCTCAGTTTGTCAGATACACTTGTGGGTGGTCTGTGCCTTCCCAGCAGAGTTAACATGCACTTCACCAGCATTTTCTTGCTTTCAGGTTGTTGGTGTGGAGTGGAAGATGAGGAGGGACCTTCTAAGCAGAGTATATATAAACAAAGAGAGACTCAGATCAGGATTCCTATGGCAGGTGTGTCTCTCAAGAAGGCCCACCCCTGTGAGATGTGCGGCCCTATCTTAGGAGACATTCTGCACATGGGAGATCATCAGGGAACACATCCCAAGCAGAAACTGCACAGCTGTGAGGCCTGGGGGAACAAATTGTATGACAGTGGAAACTTTCATCAACACCACAATGAGTACATTGGAGAGAAACCCTACAGAGGCAGTGTTAAGGAAGCATCGTTTGTGAAGAGGTGTAAGTTCCATGTGTCAGAGGAGTCATCTGTCTTCAGTCAGAGTGGGAAAGACTTTTTGCCCAGGTCAGGATTACTCCAGAAAGAGGCCACTCACACTGGGGAGAAGTCAAACAGAAAAACTGAGTGTGTGTCTCCCTTTCATGGGGGAAAGACTCATTACAGCTGTGGAGGATGCATGAAACATTTTAGCACCAAACATATACTCAGTCAGCACCAGAGACTGCTCCCTAGAGAAGAATGTTATGTGTGGTGTGAATATGGGAAATCCTTTAGCAAATACAATAGCTTCAGTAATCATCAAGGAGTTCATGCTAGAGAAAAACCTTATACATGTGGGATATGTGGGAAATTATTTAACAGTAAGTCCCACCTCCTTGTTCACCAGAGAATTCACACTGGAGAGAAGCCGTATGAATGTGAGGTTTGTCGGAAATTTTTTAGGCACAAGTACCACCTCATTGCACACCAGAGAGTTCACACTGGAGAAAGGCCATATGAATGCAGTGATTGTGGGAAGTCATTTACCCACAGCTCTACATTCCATGTTCATAAGAGAGTTCACACTGGTCAGAAGCCTTATGAGTGCAGTGAATGTGGGAAATCTTTTGCTGAAAGCTCCAGTCTCACTAAACACAGGAGAGTTCACACTGGAGAAAAGCCTTATGGGTGTAGTGAATGTGAAAAAAAATTTAGGCAAATCTCTTCACTTCGTCATCATCAGAGAGTTCACAAAAGAAAGGCCTTATGAGTGCAGTAAGTCCAGTCTCAGTAAATACAGGAGAGCACACACCTGAGTAAGATCCTGTGATTGTAGCAAATGTGGAAAATGTTTACCCGAAGGTCTGCTCTCCTTGGACATTGGAGAGTTCACACTAGAGAAGAGTCCTTATAAGTAAAATAAATTTGGGCAGTTTTATAGCCACACCTCTGTATTCCTTCAGGATTATAGTTAACACTGAATGCCTTACTAGTGTGACAAATATAGGATATTTCCAGAAGTCTGGCTTCATAATTCACAGGATAACTGTCGTAGGAAGATTGCTTGAACCTGGGAGGCAGAGGTTGCACTGAGCCGAGATCGCAACACTGCAGTCTAGCCTGGGTGACAGAGACCCTGTCTCTGTCTAAAATAAAGATATAAATGATGTCCAATAAAGTATGCATATTTGAGCTGTAGGGTAAGTCTTGAATTTTCTTTTTTTCTTTTTTTTTTTGGAGACAGAGTCTCACTCCATCGCCCAGGCTGGAGTACAGTGGCGTGATCGCAGCTCACTGGAAGCTCCGCCTCCTGGGTTCATGCCATTCTGCGTCAGCCTCCCAAGTAGGTGGGACTACAGGCACCTGCCACCACGCCCGGCTAATTTTTTGTATTTTTAGTAGAGACGGGGTTTCACCCTGTTAGCCAGGATGTTCTCGATCTCCTGACCTTGTGATCTGCCCGCCTCGGCCTCCCAAAGTTCTGCAATTACAGGCGTGAGCCACTGCTCCTGGCTTGAATTTTCTTATAATCCCATGAAATCATCATCAGAGTCACAATAATGAATTTAATCTATCGCCTTTGTATTTACATGGAGGCTTTATAAAGTTTTTCTCTCTGCTCTCCAGACAACCATTGATTTACTCTGCTTTATAATAGAGTACTTTCCATTTTCTGGAATTTTCTGACTGATGTAATAAAGTGTTTCCTCTTATAATTCCTGGGTGGCGTCCTGCATCATGCTTATTTTGATATCAATGTAGATATATGAGTTCATTTGTTTTATATTGCTGAGAAGTATAGTCTGCCATGATATGTCATTGTATATTCATTCATTCATTCATTCATTCATTCATCCATTTATGGATATTTGAGTTGCTGCTTGCTTTTTTTTTTTTTTTGTTTTAAGACTCTGTCGACCAGATTGGAGTGCAGTGGCATGATGTTGGCTGATTGCAACCTCCACCTCCCAGGTTCAAGCGATTCTCCCACCTCAACCTCCCACGTAGCTGGGATTACATGCGTGAGCCACCATGCCCGGCTGTTTTTTTGTATTTTTGGAAAAGATGGGGTTTCGCCATGTTACCAGGTTTGTCTCAAACTCCTGGCCTCAAGTGATCTGCCTGCCTTGGCCTCCCAAAATGCTGGGATTACAGGCCTGAGCTGTGAGCCACCACACCTGTAATTGATTCTGAGGCTGGGCGTGGTGGCTCACAACTGTAATCCCAGCACTTTGGGAGGCCAAGGTGGGCGGATCACTTGAGGTCAGGAGTTTGAGACCAGGTGGGCCAACATGGTGAAACCCCATCTCTACTAAAAATACAAAAATTAGCCAGGTGTGATGGCACATGCCTATAATCCCAGCTACTCACTCATGAAGCTGAGGCAGGAGAATTACTTGAACCCAGGCAGCAGAGGTTGCAGTGAGCTGAGATCACAACACTGCACTCCAGTCTGGGTGACAGACTCTGTCTCAAAAAAAATTAAATAAATAAAAACATTTATTCTGAGATAATCCCAGTTCCCAGTGTGAAACTATTCCTGCAGTCACTGGAAAATAATAACTACTTGCTTGTAAGTAGATGACATTTTGGAGCTCAGATGCCATGTTTATGCTATCATTCAGATGGCCTTTTTTACCTGTGCAGTAATTGTGAAAGTTGTAGCCGCTGATGTGTACCACAGTGGCATTGGGTAAGTTGCCCTTCCTTTGAGACAGATGTCAATGTGATAAATTGAGGGCAGGGTGCGGTGGCTCAGGCCTGTAATCCCAGCACTTTGGGAGGCCCAGGCAGGCGGATCATGAGGTCAGGAGATCGAGAGCATCCTAGCTAACAAGGTGAAACCCCGTCTCTATGAAAAATACAAAAAATTAACCAGGGTAGTGGGGGCAGCCTGCAATCCCAGCTACTTGGGAGGCTGAGGCAGGAGAATGGCATGAACCCGGGAGGCGGAGCTTGCAGTGAGCCCAGATCCTGCCACTGCACTCAAACCTGGAGGACTCAGTGAAACTCAGTCAAAAAAAAAAAGTTTTAAGTTGCTAGCCAATCGGGACAAATACAGAATGTGAGGTCCCTTTTCAGCCAATGGAAACCGACACAGCGGTAGCGTGGAGGCCTCAGGTTATAAATGACCCTGTCTCCTTAGTTCCGCGTACTCTAGTGGCAAAACTAGTACACTAGTGCCACTAGTACACTAGTGTACCCTTTCTGCAGGAAGTAAAAATGGCCTTACTAAATAAATTTATGTTCAAGTGCTATTTCTTTACCGCACTGGAGAACAAGCATTTCAAGCAATTTGGTGGCAATCCGTACAAGCACACGTTCTCCTCTGGGGCGGTGTCCAGTCCTCTCTCATGGGGTAGCGCGCTCCCCTACCTCATTGCAAGGTCGTCTAAGGGTAAGAAATTGAGACCCACCCGGTGTGACGAATAAATCCGTACTCTCAGCAATGGAAAAAACAAAAACAAAAACAAAACTGGCCAGGAACCTAGCTTAAAGATCCTCACATAATGCAGAGACAACTGTGCATAGACCACGGAAGGAGAAGCTGCAGGAGCTGGTGAAGTATTTCCTTGGTGGGTGGTCAGGGACTAAGGAAAAAGCCGGGATGGTAAAGTATTCCTTGGTTAGGACATACCAAGGAGAGAAAAACCGCAGGGGTGGTAAAATATTCCTTAGGATGTCTTCGGAGGTCAGAAAGAGGTGAGAAATCCCCAGTCGGGGGTTGAACCTCACACAAACCTCTGGTAGTAAGAAAAATATTCAGAACTCCCCTTTCCTTTTCAGAGGAAGAAACAATAGCTCCGCTCCTGCCGGTCCCTCCCCTAGGGGAGTGGAAAGCAGAGGAGAAAACAGCAGCATAGGTGGCTGGCAGAGACAAAGGAAAGACCAGCAGAAAAGAAAAAGAAACTAGGAGAGGAAGTCAGAGAGAAAGAAAACAAAAACAGCAAGCGCAGAGCCAAACAGCTAGGCAGGCACGCCAAAGATTAAGTCCCTCTTCCCGAAAAGAGGTTAGGGACCGGCTCCGGGTGGAGGGCATAGGAGGTGAAAAGACATAATTCTTGCAATTTGCGGCCGGCATATCTGTCAAGCCGCTAGGCCAATGACTGCCCGGCGCCCAGACTGCAGTCGCGAAAATCCCATTCAATCCAAGAAACTAAGTGTAAAAAGAAGAGGGGGTGGGGGAGTAAAAAGGGGAATCTGGAAAAAAAAAAAAAAAAACAGGAAAAATAGCGCGGGGGCGGGGCCTGTGCGGTGGCCCAGCCCTGCTTGCCGCAGGAGCTGGAGAACTCAGGAGAAGAAAGGGAAACGGGATGAGAGAGCGTGGAAAATAGAGTGCAAATGAGAGAGATAAATAGAAGGAAAGAGTGAGAGAAAGTGGAAGAGACAGAAATCAAAAAAAAGACAAAGAAGGTGAAACTAGGAAAAAAAATAGTGTAAAAGGAAGGCAGAAAGTTAAGACATGTTGAAGATTGTGAAAGTTGTAAGAAAAGCTATAAAAGGGAATTTATGCAATAAATATTGTATAATTTAAAAGTAATTAGGCCTCCTGGATGTAAAATTATTATTAAACAGTTTATGTACAAGGTATATAAGAAAAATAAAATCTACTTTTAATAAGATTACAAGGAGGCATAAGAATATGGATGTTTACCTACATTAAACGTTAAAAAAAATTTTTGTTTTAAAGGTTTAAGCAAGTTTTACAATGTTAATTGTAAAGGAAATTCTGTGTGTAAACATACTGGCTAAACTTAAAAGGGTATCATCCAGTTTTTCTGTGAACTGGGCATTAAAATTAAAGCATGATAGATTTTTCTTAAAGCACCAACCTGCTCTTTAACAAAAATTATAAAAAGAGTCTGTAAAAGTCTTACCTTATAGTCAGACATTAAAATTAGATAGTGTCTATAAGATTTTATTAAAATTAAGTTTAACATTAATAGCACATTAATATAAAGATAAAATTTAACTTACCTGATATAAAATCATACAAAAAAAAATTGTCAAATATACAATGGTATTTAGCTTTCTTAAGGCCCTAAGGTGGCCAGGTAAGTCACAAGGCCCCTCATCCCCAAGGCCACAGGGAGCAAGGGCGGTGAAGGCCACAAGAAGGCCCAAGACATTAAGGGGCAGGGCCGCAGCATCCCCTGGCCGGCGCTGAACAACAGTGGAGCAGAAGGCGTCACCATGTGGCCTAAAGCCCCAGAATATGCAGCAAAAATTATATACTTAATTTATCTTCCACTTTCCTTTCCCTCGGAACTAAAAGTCTTTTAGCACAGGTACCACCCCTAGAATTTCCAGTACACCAGCACCAGCCTGAAAAGCACATCCTCATCAAAAGATAGAAAAAGCTCAAGCCAGCCTGGGAAGAACTCTATTTTACACCGTTAACCACTGAGACTGCCGTCCGCACAGCTGAGAAAGAAAAAATGGACCCACCATACTCAAGTCAAGAAAACATCTTCCTCTGAGAATTATGGGTTACTGTACTAGGATCAAGCCCTACTAAGTTAAAGAAAGATTAATTTTCATACACCTTTTATATTGCTTTCTTTATTCTGTTACTAGCTCCTTTTTTATTAATGTAACTAAGTCTGACTCACCTCAGACTATTGCTTTTAATGCTTGCTCTGTCATACCTTGTAGAAATGTAAAAGATCAACAGCTAGCCTTTTCACACAAATATTTATGTCGCAGCCCTCTAATTGACACAGTTATCCCGAGCACTCATTGTTGTAATGACCTGCAGCCAGGACCGATTTTCTGCTCCTACTGCCTGGCAACCTTGTAGTAAGTAAGACTACATCCCATAAACTACCCAAGAGCAAAGTTAGACTTCCACAAAAAGGTTTGTGCAGATCTAAAACCCCTCATCTATTTCACTAAAAGGACTACCCCTTCTGTCAGCCTTGTCAATATAACCCTGTCCTCTTTATCACCACCTCCACCTTAACTAACTCTAGACCTGCCCTTAGTCGCTTCTATGGTATAAAAATTAACATAAATAGGCTGGGCGTGGTGGCTCACGCCTGTAATCCCAGCACTTTGGGAGGCCGAGGCAGGTGGATCACCTAAGGTCAGGAGTTCGAGACCAGCCTGGCCAAGATGGTGAAACCCCGTCTTTACTAAAAATACAAAAATTAGCCAGGTGTGGTGGTGGGCGCCTGTAATCCCAGCTACTCTGGAGGCTGAGACAGGAGAATCACTTGAACCTGGGAGGTGGAAGTTGCAGTGAGCAAAGATCACACCATTGCACTCCAGCCTGGGTAAAAGAGTGAAACTCTGTCTCAAAAAAAAAAAAAAAAAAAAAAAAAAAAAAAAAACAGAAAAAAGAAAAGAAAATTTCACTCTCCACAGAAGTTACAGGAAGATATGTATCAGCGAGTGTGAGTGGTCATAACATGGTTAATTTGAATAAGTCATTTTATGACTTCTAGATGACACCCCACACACCTGTATTGATTCAGAATCACTGGACATCTTTCCAGCGAGAGGGGAATACTAATAACTGTGAAAATAAAATGTACCTACAAAACATGTTGTCATTAAGCAACATTTAGGAATTGAGATGTTTTACGTCCCTGATTATCTTGCTGTTGGTAATTTACGATCTTTTTATTCATGTAACTTAAGTATTTTTCCATTCACTAAATGGGACAGGAAGTTTAACTCTTGCATTCAACACATTAATGAAATAGTCCTGCAGCTCGCATTTGTAAATCATGTTCCCAAAAGGATAAAAATGCATATCCAAAAAATGTTATAAGGACACTAAACGTCAACTCAAAAACTATGGGTAAGTCTTCTTGTTCTTCACTTTATGTGAGTAAAGGTTTTTTTATCTTATTTTTTTTTTTTTGAGATAAGAGTCTCACTCTGTCGCCCAGGCTATTGTGCAGTGGTGCGATCTCGGCTCACAGCGAGCTCTGCCTCCTGGGTTCAAGCCATTCTCCTGCCTTAGCCTCCCGAGTAACTGGCACTACAGGCGCCCGCCACCACGCCCAGCTAATTTTTTTTTTTTTTGTATTTTTAGTAGAGATGGGGTTTCACCATGTTAGCCAGGATGGTCTCGATCTCCTGATCTTGTGATCCACCCGTCTTGGCCTCCCAAAGTGCTTGGATTACAGGCGTGAGCTACTGCACTTGCCCAAGTAAAGCTTATAATGAATGTTGTGAGAATGTTTTGGTTATCAATGAGAATACTTTAAAGAGAGTATGAGAGACAATATGGAGAAGAGATCCTAGGCAGCCCTAAGGGAATTACACAAGGTGGTACCATGCCTCTGAGTCCCTCTGACTATGTTCTATATCTTCTTCTGTATTGTGTTCCAATCCCACAAAGCAGCAGCATTTTTCTATTTAACACTTCTTTTTTTTTTAAATAATTTAATGTGGTATAAGTGTGATTTGGTTACATGTACAGATTGTGTAGAAGCTAAATCAGGGCTTTAGGGTATCCATCACTCAAATAGTATCCATTGTACCCATTAAGTAATTTCTCATCATCCACCCTCCATCACGTCTAAATTGTCTAAGATATTACAATTTCTTCTAAGATTCTGACACTTATCTGGGAATAGTAGTTGCTTATTAAATCAATATTTGCCATGGTGGTTGCGATGTTGACATTCCTGCAGGTGTGGAACAAGACTATCTGATTCTTGATAAATTATCTTGTATTCCATGATCCAACTTCCTTGCTAGGAAGTGATTATCATTTCACCTGTAGGTGCAGTGATAGCGTCTGCATGAAGACTGGAGATTATCTCTGAAACACAGTTGAGGACCGAGATAATTACAAAGTAATTAATGTGGATTCAGAGAGTTATCCATTGACAATGACATAAGTAGCTAGTAAAGTTTCTGTGATGGCCAAGAACACATTAAGTCTCAATGGATAGTAAGTAGAGAACAGTAAGCTCTAAGTTCTGAGATAATTAAGTGAAACTCACGGCTATCATGAAAACTTGGTTAACATGAAATTCTTATTTCAACAAAGTGCATATCCTTTCCATTTATGAGAACTCTGAGGAATAACAAACTTGGAGAGAAAGAAATAGTATGGCAGGAGTAGAAAGATGTGGAATAGAAGGGAAGCCATAGCATATTTGTCGAAAAAAATAAACTTTTCCTCTGTTGTCTGTCACACAACAATAATCAATATGGAGTAATTCTGTGACCAGATATGCAGGGTGTTTTCTACCCACACCAAGCAATCCTCCAGTGGATACAAGCTGGGGGTCCTCCAGTTCAACTCAGTCATTATCTACCCGCAGATAGCATCACATCCCCCAGTTTGAGGACTCAGTCACCAAAACTGATGCTCCCATTTCTGATGCCAATCAAAGCCCCAGAGCCTCTGCTTTTGACTGATGAACTATAAACCAGGAATCCCATGGACCCCCCATGACCAGATTTGATTAATTTGATAGAGCGGCACATAAAACTCAGGGAAAATAATTTACTGGTTAATTATAAATAGTACAAAAGATGCAGATAGAGATGCATAGGGTAAAGTATGAGAAAAGCGCTTGGAGCTTCCATGCCCTCTTGCAAAGACTGAAGGTGTCTTAAACAACAGGGCCTTTATTATAACACAAATCAGGGCAATAGGCGGCAGGCTGTCTGAGATTCATGACTGGCAGGCTGGAAAATTCCATCTTAAGAATTCTGTGAGATCCAAAAGATCCCTGAAAAAGGCAGTCCATCTTTTCAGGTTATCAGAAGAGTCCTCTGTGCCAAAAATGTGTCAGTTTCATGGCCTAACTCATCAGAGAGAAAGAAATGAGAATAGAGTTAGTACTGAGGATACTAAAAAATCCCTCTGTTGAATGAAACAAAATCAAAGTTACTTCTGGATCATGATGAGTTAGGAGAATGATGTACTGTGGGCACCTGCCAAGTGGTAAAGGTGAAATGCTTTTTAGAAGAGAACTGTCAGTCATAGAAGTCTAGCAAGAGACCTGGGCAGGTTGAAAAATACTATGTGGTTCCCACATACCTGGAATGTATGCAGCTATTTGATGTATGGCACATTCAATTTAGGCAGATGGCATCCTCATAAGGGGTCTCCTCCAGTGTTAAACTGAAGAAGAAATAATATTGCCTCCACATCTGTGGTATTTTCCTCATGTAAATATTCTGGTAACCAATGAGAGATGATGAAGGCTTTCTCACATTCATTGCACTCAAAAGGCACTTCTTCAGTGGTAGCACTCTTTTATGTAAAGAAGCTAGCATTCCAGCTAAAGAACATTCCCCATTTGCCACACTCATAACACCTTGATCCAGTGTGAACTCTCTCGCCTTGAAGGAGCAAAAAGCCTGGGCAAGAGAATTCCCAAAATTTGCTTCACTTACAAAGCCTCATTCCAGTATGAACTCTCTGATGGCGACGGAACGAAGAACTGTGGCGAAATGATTTTCCACAATCAATGCATTCATATGGCCTTTCTCCAGTGTGAACTCTCAAGTGTTTAATAAGGCTGGAGTTTTCAGCAAAGGATTTCTTACATTCACTGCACTCATAAGGCCTTTCTCCAGTGTGAACTCTCAGATGTATAATAAGGCTAGATCTTCGGCTAAAGGATTTCCCACACTGCCCACACTCATGCCTTTCTCCAGTATGAACTCGCTGATGGTGAATGAGGTTGGACCTTAAGCTAAAGGATTTTCCACATTCACTACATTCATAAGGCCTTTCTCTAGTGTGAACTCTCTGATGCTGCAAGAGTGAAGAGCTTCGGCGAAATGATTTTCCACACTCACCACATTCATAAGGCCTTTCTCCTGTGTGAACTCTCAAGTGTTTAATAAGACTGGAGTTTTCAGCAAAGGATCTCCCACATTCACTGCACTCATAAGGCCTCTCTCCAGTGTGAATCCTCCTGTGTTTAATGAGACTAGATGTATAAGCAAAGGACTTCCCACATTCATTGCATTCATAACGCTTTGCTCCAGAGTGAACTTTCCTGTGGTTAATGAGACCGGACTTTTCAGCAAAGCCTTTCCCACATTCAATACACTCATAAGGCTTTTCTCTAGTGTGAAGCGTCTGATGCTGCAAGAGTGAAGAGCTTTGGTGAAATGATTTTCCACACTCACTGCATTCATAGGTCTTTTGCCCAGTATGCAATCTCTCACGAATATGGAGTGTAGGGTTTTGGTGAAATAAATTCCCATATTTGCTGCACTCATAAGGTCTTTCTCCAGTGCGAACATTCCTGTGTTTGTGATCTCTTCTGAGTTCAGTGAGGCAGGACTTGTTCTTTAATAATTTCCTATATTCCCCACACTCATAAGGCCTTTCTCCACTATGACCTCCCTGGTCTTTGTATATATGTATACAAGTGCTCTGCTTAGAAGGTGCTGCCTCATCTTCCCCTCCATGCCAACAACCTAAAAGCAAAGAAACGCTGGTGAGGTACATGTTGACTTTGTTGAGTATGCAGTCTACCTACAAGAGTAACTGACAAACAAAAAAACTAGTCTATGGAGTTATCTGCACGCATAGGGAGTTGGGTTCAGGTTGAGGTTGGGGCTGCTTAGCATTATCACAGATATAGGAGGCCTCATGTTGTCAAGGGCATGACTATATGAGGCAACAGACAGAATAACGGCAGGGTCTATAACTCCTTCATTTGCAAACAACTTGCCTGTGGGACCTTATTTGCTGATGACATGTGAGTACTATATAAAGAATATGTCCAGGCCACCACAACATGACTAGAGCACGACATCCTTTGGTCAGGGACTGTTAAGAATGAGTATATACATGGCCAAGAAACATGGCTCATGCCTCTAATCCCAGCACTTTGGGAGGCCGAGGCGGGTGGATCACAAGGTCAGGAGTTTGAGACCAGCCTGGTCAACATGGCAAAACCCCTTCTCTACTAAAAACAAAAAAGTTAGCCAGGCATGGTGGCGTGCGCCTGTAATCCCAGCTACTCAGGAGGCTGAAGCAGGAGAATCACTCGAACCTGGGAGGCGGAGGTTGCAGTGAGCCTAGTCCAGTGTGGGCAACAGAGCAAGAATCTGTCTCAAGAAAAAAAAAAAAAAAAAAAAAAAAGGATATATACTTCATAGAGGCAGGGCGTGGTGGCTCACACCTGTAATCCCAGCACTTTGGGAGGCCAAGTGGGGTGGATCACCTGAGGTCAGGAGTTCAAGACCAGTCTTGCCAACATGGCAAAACCCTATCTTTACTAAAAATACCCAAAAAATTAGCTGGATGTGGTGGTGGGCCCCTGTAATCCTAGCTACTGGGGAAGCTGAGGTAGAATTGTTTGAACCTGGGAGGCGGAGGTTGTAGTGAGCTGAGATCACATTATTGCACTCCAGCCTGGGAAACAAGAGTGAAACTCCATCTCAAAAGAAAAAAAAGAATGGGTATATACTTCATAATACAAAATACATGAGTCAATATTGAAGACCACTGCAGACAGAGCAGTGAGAAAAATAGGTGAGATGTGGAGTCCGGATATATGAAAATTAGTCCTGGGTTGAATGTAACAGCAGAAGCGACAAGGTGTAGGACTAATAAATTGGCACTCTCAATAATGGGGAAGGAAAGACATAAAGTGGGGCTACTTCTATTGGCACGGAAATATTGTCAAATAGAAGAGGTATATGGCATAATTTGAATAGAGCCCTGATGTCATGACCTCACTCACATGCTATTCTTCAGAAGAAAGCTGCCCCAAGTCCTTGCTAAGGCTGGACTCATTTACATCTTAGGGACAACCACGGGCTCTTCATTTCACCACCAAGATGAGCAACTACATGGAAACTCGATCATGTTAAGTACTAAGAGAAACGTAGGACAGATGAACAGCCAATACTGGCTCAGAACAACTCTGCATTTGATATTCCACAGGAAAGGAAACTAAATATTATAAAAAGAATTCCTTCCTATAAATTTTTAGAGATAAGGACCTGCTGTGTTGGCCAGGGTGGCCTCAAACTCCTGGGATCTGAGTAGCCTCTGAAGAGCTGGGATGACAGGTATTATTGTGCCTGATGAAATACTACAAAAAGAATTTTGAAGTAGGGTATTGCAAGAACAGGCTGTGGTTCATGTACATAATGACCATGTCAGTGCCGGCAATTTGTGACATGAACAAATGTGAGCTAGAGGAAGGAAATGGAACTTCAGAAAAACAGAAGCCTTGGATCTGCACAGTCACCCAGACAGGCAGAGGACAACCAAGGTGGGATACATTAGGGTGACTTTAAGACTCCTGACCCTGACTCCTTCTCTGGAAGCCTGCAACAAAGCAGGCTGGAGCTGCTTAAGGAAAGGAGAGTAAGTACACCTCAGTCCAACCAACAACAGAACCTCTCCAGAGAACTGGAGAATGAAGCTGTGTCCATGGTCCTGATGTGAGAAAGCGATAAGGCATAAAGGAGAGGGGCAGAGACTAACTCAGGTCACAGGTGAATATGAGTACCTTACCCAGGGAGGATATAAGTGTCAAGGTCTCCAGCATCACGTCATGGTACAGGCATCTCTGAGCCTCATTAAGAAGACTCCATTCCTCCAGGGAAAAGTTTACAGCCACGTCTTCAAAGGTCACACTGCTCTGTCATGATGGGGATAGATGAAACCACAAATGGCCCCTATGCTGAAGACCCACAATCCACTTCCCCAACATATCTACCCTTGCCCATCCTCCTTCTCCCAGGATCCCCAACTCAGAAGAGAAACTTTGCCCACTAGTGCCACTATGTCCTCATGGGACCATTAATCATGACACATAGCCATCAGCAACAAGATGCAGATAAGCAAACAGGTATCTCTGCTGTGGGCCTGAAATAAAGGGTTTCATCCTCTCCTTTCTAGCAATTCCCCTGGTAGAGCAAAGGTCACGTGAATCCCAATGCAGTGCCTGAGGCCTTTCAAACATAATCTTTATGTACATACACATCCTTCACATCTTTGGACACCACAGACACATGCCAATTGCCGCCACTACCTAACTGCCCACACCATAGGCCTCTCTCTGGTCTTGCCAGAAGTTAAAGTATTTTAATCACCCTTTCTTCTACTGGTAAGAGTAGGAGTCTCACCCTAGGGTTATGGTGATGGCCAAACACACAACACCTGACGCTGAACACAAGTCATCAAGAAAGTTCATTAATCAAATATGCTCACAGCTTGAAAGAAGAGGACACCACTCACCACAGACAGCCACATGGGGGTTGAACTATGCATAAGAGAGAGCGGCCAGGTGCGATGGCGCACACCTGTAATCCCAGCACTTTGGGAGGCCGAGGCAGGTGGATCACCTGAGGTCAGGAGTTCGAGACCAGCCTGAACAACAAGGTGTAACCCCGTCTCTACTAAAATACAAAAATTAGCCGGATGTGGTGGCATGCACCTGTAGTCCCAGCTACTCAGGAGGCTGAGACAGGAGAATCTCTCGAACCCGGGAGATGGAGGTTGCAGTAAGCCCAGATGGCGCCACTGCCTCCAGCCTGGGCAATGGAGCGAGACTCTGTCTCAAAAAAAAAAAAGAGAGAGAGTGCAACCAGGGACTGTGGTATGTAAGCTTTGCTCAATCAAGAGGGTGTGATAGTCCCTGATTCCCTTAAAAGAATGCAACTGGCTTGTTTTTATTTTTAATTTTTGAGACAGGGTCTTGCTCTGTCACTCCTGCTGGAGTGTAGTGGCACAATCACAGCCCACTGCAGCCTGAACTCACTGGGTTCCAGCAATCCTCCCACCTCAGCCTCCTAAGTAGCTGGGACCACAGGTGTGTGACACCACACCCAGCTGCAACTGGCTTGTTTGAATCTCTGCGGGTAGAAATCAAATTGAAACCTGCTACAAATAAATAATAACCAGGAACTCTGCCTAGTCCTCTTGATTAAAAGGGTAGTTAGGCTAGGACACATTATCCAAAAGAGCAGAGTGGGGAGGGGGATTTGCACTCAGACCATTTGAGGTATCACCAGACATAAAGGTAGCACATGATACTGGCCTTAACTTTAGGGCTTATACCATAATGTGGCTGACATCATCCACAGTAGTCTTGGTAAATTAAAAAGGAATCCAAAATTACCACAGAATTCTAATGTTTCTCAATAGCAGTGGTAGCCCCAAATCATTCTTTGAACCCCTCCATGCATAAATCCACAGACAAAAAGAACCACTAGCATTTTCAGATATTTATGGTGCTATTCCACTTCCGTGCTGCATTTGCTATCCTCAGAAACTATGACTTTTTATTTATTATTTTTTGAGACGGAGTTTCACTCTTGTTGCTCAGGATGGAGAGCAATGGCGCGATCTCGGCTCACTGCAACCTCCACCTCCCAGGTTTAAGTGATTCTCCTACCTCAGCCTCCCGAGTAGCTGGGATTAGAGGCATGTGCCACCACGCCTGGCTAATTTTATACTTTTTAGTAGAGTCAGGGTTTCTCCATGTTGGTCAGGCTGGTCTTGAACTCCTGGCCTCAAGTGATCCACCCGCCTCAGCCTCCCAAAGTGCTGGGATTACAGGTGTGAGCCACCATGCCCGGCTGACTTTTTTTTTTGAGACAGAGTTTCACTTTTGTCGCCCAGGCTGGCGTGCAATGACGCAATCTCGGTTCACTGCAACCTCTGCCTCCCAGGTTCAAGTGATTCTCCTGTCTCAGCCCCCGAATAGCTGGGATTACAGGTGCCTGCCACCATGTCAGCTACTTTTTGTGTATTTTTAGTAGAGATGGGGTTTCACCACGTTGTCGATGCTGATCTCGAACCCCTGACCTCACGTTATCTGCCCACCTTGGCCTCCCAAAGTGCGGGGATTACAGGTGTGAGCCACTATCCCGGCACCTATGACTTTCTTCTGTCCACCTAACCCCATTCAAAGCCCAGAACCATTGGTCATCAATCTCGGGCATAGTGACTCTCAGAAGGTAACCATATTTGCCTCCATATCTGGTACCAGGCTGAATGAAACACCCCAGGCCACACCAAAGTCATCTCAAAATCTTGGTGAGGCCACAAAGTAGCCAATAAACACAAGCTCCGGCCTGAGTGTCATCTTCCCTCAGCTACTCCTATGCGTCGGCAAGCATCTCAAGTCTATTCATTCCTTGGAAGCATTATGTCACTTGCCAAACTAGGCTGTCAGATATATCCTCCCTTTCCAGTCTGGCCAAGATGGTGAAACCCCGTCTCTACTAAAAATGCAAAAATTAGCCGGATGTGGTGGCAGGCGCCTATAATCCCAGCTACTTAGGAGGCTGAGGCAGGAGAATCATTTGAACCCGGGAGGCAGAGGTTGCAGTGAGCCGAGATCGCACCACTGCACTCTAGTCTGGGTGACAGAGCAAAACTCTGTCCCAAGAAAAAAAAAAAAAAAGAAGAAGAAACAGATATACCCTCCCTTCATGGCCATTTACCTCCCTCACCTGTGTTTCTGAAATCCAATACCATCGCCAGGTACACAAGCAGGAAACCCAATCCCCACTTCCTGTCCAACAGTGTCATCAACATAATCTGAAGGTTGTACCTTCCAAATGTGAGCCATGACTCAATCATCTCGGTCCACACAGTAGTCACCATATATTAGATACCTCCAATATCAACCCTTCCCCAGATATTTGCATCTATGTGTCCAGCTGCCCATTTGATAGCTCCATTAAGAGTATCTAATACATTTTAGAATCTTAACATGGCTGTGATATTGAGAAATATATATTTGGTCATCTCCTTTTCTGGCATGCAACTCCTAAAATTCACGAAATTCTCAAATTTAAGTGAGTTTCAATGGTAATGAGTTGAATGATGGTTGGTAACCCCTAGATAACTTCAGGATGGAGACTGGTCAGGGAAAAGACTATGTTGGGATTCGAGGTCTGGAAAGTTCAGCCCCCACCGCAATCTCCAGAAAAGGGAGAGGGGGCCAAGGGTTAAGCTGATCAGCATTGGCCAATGATTTAATTAATCGTGCCTATGTAACAAAGCCTTGATAAAACCCCATAAAGACAGGGTTTGGGGAGCTTCCAAATAGCCAAACACATGGAAGTTCCTGGATGGTGGTGTGCCTGAAGATCATAAAAGCTCCGGGTCCCTTCCCCTTATGCACCTCTTCATCTGTAAACTTTGTAATAAATATTCTTTAAAATAAACTGGCAAATTAAAGCGTCTCCTGAGGTTTTGTGACTGGCTCTAGCAATTTAATGGAAGTCGAGGAACCTGATTTATAGCAAGTCAGTCAAAAGACAGGTTAAAAAAAAAAAAAAGAAAAACACATCCCCGGGCTTGTGATTGGCATCGAAAGGGGTTGGCGGACAGTCCCATGGGTCTGAGACTTCACCTGTGGGATCTGATGTCCACTGGAGAACTACTTGGTGTATGAGGAAAACCATCCACACATATCTAGTCACAGAAGTACTCTGTGTTGATTGTTGTGGGGGAGAGCAAAGCAAAAGCAATTTGTGTTTTGTTCCACTCAGAATGGCCACAACAAACCTCCTGATAGCCTCAGTGAATATTACATCTGCTATCAACTTGCTCATCTCAGTTGATGGAGCTCCCATTGCCACAGCTGCTAAGACTAAAAACTCAGGGGTGTTTCCTGAATCCTCTCAAACTCTCACTGTTCCCATTTAAAAATTGAATTGCTGGGCTGGGCATGATGGCTCAAGCCTGTAATCTGTAATCCCAGCACTTTGGGAGGCCGAGGCAGGTGGATCACCAGGTCAGGAGTTCGAGGCCAGCCTGGCTAAAACGGTGAAACCCCATCTCTACTAAAAATACAAAAATTAGCCAGGCGTGGAGGCGCGCGCCTGTAATCCCAGCTATGGGAGGCTGAGGCAGGAGAATTGCTTGAACCCGAGAGGCAGAGGTTGTAGTGAACCAAGATTCCACCACTGCACTCCAGCCTGGGCGACAGGTCCAGACTCTGTCTTGGAAAAAAAAAATTGACTTGCCCCTCTAAAAAACACAAATCCAGATCTAGCCACATTGCCTAAGCCACAACTCTAGTCCATTAATCCTTACCTCGACTAGGGCAGTAGCTTCCAGTTTGATCTTCCTCCTCCCTCAACCCCACAGTCTGTTGTCCACTCTGTAACCAGACAGAGCCTATTAAGAAATTGGTAACATCACCTCACCCCTCCAGTTTCCCTTCTAAGTAAGTAAGTGCACATCCCAGTATCAGCTCCTGGGTGAACCTTCCACACGTGTTACATTAGTTGATAGACATGGCAATAACTCCCCATAACCTATATCACTGATGTAGAGTTGGGGTTTGAGGTTTTTCCAAGATCCCCAGATCGAACGACTGGAGAAAGGCACTTAAGTGTCCTAGAATGTGCGGTGGTTCCTGCCTGTCATCCCAGCACTTTGGGAAGCTGAAGCAGGATGACTGCTTGAGCCCAAGGGTTTGAGACTAGCCTGGTCAACATGGCGAAATTCCATCTCTACTAAAAATACAAAAAGCCAGTTACTTGGGAGACTGAGATGAGAGGCTCTCCTAAGCCCAGGGAGGTCGAGGCTATGCTGCGCCCTGATCGCGTCACCGCAATCCAGCCTGGGTGTCAGAGTGAGAATCTGTCGCCCCCAAAAAAAATTTTAAAAAGACGCCAAGATCTAGACATGTGGGTGAGGATGAGGGACTAGAGCATCCCCTACTTCCTTCTGTGGGTTCCCTAAGTGATTCCATAGCCATGAGGTGTGCCAAAAGGCAGGGCTTTCACAAATGTGTCCGTGCTCAGATTTGATATACTCAGGCTTCTCTGTAAGCTTTTTTTGGCCCTGCCGCCAGATGATCTTGTGGCCCAGTGCTCAATGTCACCTCTTAATGATTCAACCTCTCAGAGCCTCAATATCCTCATCACCGCCTTCAACTCTGTACTTCCTTTGAACATCTTTTGGGAATCCTAACTCTAACACAGATTTCCTTTGTTCAAAACTGTCCATGGCTTCTAGCGACCTCAAAATCAAAGGTCAACCCTCAGCCTGGTACTGAAGAAACAACTCTGCCTCGGCCAGGCGCGGTGGCTCACGCCTGTACTCCCAGCACTTTGGAAGGCCAAGGCGGGCGGATCACCTGAGGTCAGGAGTTCGAGACCAGCCCAGCCAACATGATGAAACCCCGTGGTGGCACACGCCTGTAATCCCAGCTACTCGGGAGGCTGAGGCAGGAGAATCGCTTGAACCCGGAGACGGAAGTTGCAGTGAGTCAAGATCGCGCCACTGCACTCCAGCCTGGGCGACAGGGTGAGACTCGGTCTCAAAAAAGAAAAAAAAAAAAAAAGAAAGAACTGCGGCTCACTCTTCGTTCCCGGTAGACACAAGATGTCCCCGTGTTCCGCATCCTCCTGCCTCTGTCGCGCCTGCAGGCCTTTGCCCATGCCGGACCCTCGGCCAGTCTCGCTCTGACGACCGTATCAATTGGGTGTCGGAAACGGGGATCCCACCCGCCGGCGCCTCTCTGTCCCTGACAGAGGCCTGGGCTGCAGGGACGCGAGGAGGCGCCCCTAACGATCAGGGGCCTCAGGGTCCGGGTGGGTGAGGCCCGGAGGTCGCAGCGCTCACCTGAGCGGGGTCCCTCAGAGCAGCCGCTGCAGCCATGACTCTGTTGGCGGGCGGGGGGACGTGGGCTCGGCGGTGTTCCTGTGGTTGTCCTGTCCCGGGCTGCGACCAGTGGCGTCGCCGAGCCTCAGATCCGCCTGTGCGCTATGGCCACAACCACTCCTCCCGAGCTCGTCCAGACCCAGAACCTCCACTGGCCTCACAGGCCAAAATGGCTGCCACGGCTAGGACGCCGGAAGTCTCGGCTTGACTTTACGTGCCCCCGCAATGGCGTGTCTTCTCTGAAGCTTCATTGGCTCAGTCACGCTTCCATTCCACAGGGCGGATTCTGGGTAATGTAGTTCCCAGAGATGGGCAGCGCTGAAGGTGACTTTCTTCCGACTTACGGAAGGGCCAAGCTCCACTGCGAGGGGCGCTAGAAAATGGCGACTCCAGGTCCAGATGCCGAGGAGGGTCTCCCATCTTAGAAGAGGCCATACACACATTTCTGGGGGTATTCTGTGCAACTGATTGCCCGCGTGTTTGGAGGCTTCTTATTTCAGAATTTGTGATGCTCGGCTTCTTGTTTTTTTTTTTTTTTTTTTTTTTTTTTAAAAGACAGTTCTCTCTTACTCAGGCTGGAGTGCAGTGGTGTGATCTTGGCTCACTGCAGCCTATGCCTCCCGGCTTCAAGCGATTCTCGTGCCTCAACCACCCGAGTACCTGGGATTACAGGCATGTGCCACCACACCCGGCTAATTTTTGTATTTTTAGTAGAGACAGGGTTTCCTCATGTTGGCCAGGCTGGTCTCGAACTTCCGTCCTCAAATGATCCGCCTGCTACGGTCTACCGAAATGCTAGGATTATAGGCGTGAACCACCGTGCTCAGCCCATTAGCAACACTTTTATTTATGCTATATCTTTAACCTATAGATTCCTCTAGAAATCTGATATCAACGTCAAAGAGAGAATAAGACAAATGCTATTATCTATTATGTTACAGGACAATGGCTGCGGTGTTCAAACATGGAGTTTGTATGCACAGGGTGCTTTTACACTGAGATATTTCAAGTGCCTTAAATCCATGAGTTCACCTCTTTGCTGGCAAGTGCTCATCATTGTCAGTGGCATTGGAATCAGAGCAACTCCATCTTGAAAATGGCTGGATAAAATAAGGCTGAGAACTGTTCGGCTGCATTCCCAGGTTAGGCATTCTCAGTCACAGGATGAGACAGGAGGTTGGCACAAGATGTGGGTCACAAAGACCCTGCTGATAAAACAGGATGCAGTAAAGAAGCTGGCTAAAACGCACCAAAACTAAGATGGTAATGAAAGTGACCTCTGGTCATCTTCACTGCTCATTATATGCTAATTATAATGTATTAGCATGCTAACTCCCCCCAGCGCCATGACAGTATACCAATGCTCTGGCAATGTTTGGAAGTTACCCTATATAGTCTAAAAAGGGGGAGGGAACCTCTGTTCTGGGAAATCTCCACCTCTTTTTTTTTTTTTTTTTTTTTTTTTTTTTGAGATGGAGTCTTCCTTTGTCACCCAGGCTGGAGTGCATTGGTGCGATCTTGGCTCACTGCAACCTCCGACTCTTGGGTTCAAGCGATTTTCCTGTCTCAGCCCCCTGAGTAGCTGGGATTACAGGCGCCTGGCACAGCGCCCGACCTGTAAAATTTTCTATACTTAAAAAGTTGGCTGGGTGCGGTGGCTCTTGCCTGTAATCCCAGCACTTTGGGAGGCCGAGGGGCGCGGATCACGAGGTCAGGAGCTCTAGACCAGCCTCACCAACATGGTGAAACCCCGTCTCTAGTAAAAATAGAAAAATTAGCTGGGCGTGGTGGCGCATGCCTGTAATCCCAGGTACTCGGGAGGCTGAGGCAGGAGAATCACTTGAACCCATAAGGCGGAGGTTGCAGTGAGCCAAGATCGTGCCACTGCACTCCAGCTGGGGCGACAGAGGAGAGAGTGAGGCTCCGTTTCAAAAACAAAAAACAAAAAAAACCTTTCTTGGATTATGTTTAGTATAAGTTGGGTATTTAGTGGAAACCTTATTCGGTATTGGAGGTGAGGGTTTCCAGTAATATTTCTTTCCCCAAGCAATCATTTTCTCAGATTTTCAGTGAGTTGGCTCACAAACATGTTGGACCCTAAGAAATTGAAATCTCAAAGGCAAGATGGGTCTCCTGTTGGGTCCACACCAAAATTTGTAAGTGGGGGAAAAGCATTACCCCTCTGTTAGCCATATCTACTTTTTCTTATCTGAAGCCTCTTTTTGAATCCCTTGGAGTTCCTGTTCAATGGCACTTATTTGGAATGTAGTGACCTTTATAGTTTCATATGATATTGGTGTCAAGACAGTCTTTTGCTGCTGCATCTGCGAAATAACTTTTTTTTATTCTTTGGAGAGGTGAGTTTGAATGCTCAGGAATGTTAATAAAACACATTCTTTAAATCGACGGCTTCTAAAATATCAGAAACTTGAGAGCTATGTTTAATTAGATATCTGGGGGAGGTTAAGTAACCTCACTGGCCAGGCGTGGTGGCTCACGCTTGTAATCCCAGCACTTTGGGAGGCAGAGGCGGGTGGATCATGAGGTCAGGAGTTTGAGACCAGCCTGACCAACATGGTGAAACCCATCTCTACTAAAAATACAAAAATTGGCCGGGCGCAGTGGCTCACGCCTGTAATCCCAGCACTTTGGAAGGCCAAAGTGGGCGGATCATGAGGTCAGGAGATCGAGACCATGGTGAAACCCCATCTCTACTAAAAATACAAAAAATTAGCTGGGCGTGGTGGCGGGCGCCTCTAGTCCCAGCTACTCCGGGGGCTGAGGCAGGAGAATGGCATGAGCCTTGGAGGCGGAGCTTGCAGTGAGCCAAGAGCGCGCCACTGCACTCCAGCCTGGGCAACAGAACAAGCCTCTGTATCAAAAAAAACAAAAAACAAAAAAAACAAAAAAAAGCAAAGCCTCACTGATTCCATAACATCCCAACGTCATGAGCCACACCAACAGATAATACCTTTAAGTATAAATATTATCCATTTGATTTTTGGCCAGTTGACAAACTGGTGAGTGCTGTTAATTCAGCTAGCTGTGCTGATTTTAGTTGAGGCAAGGGATTGCTCTTTTTTTCCTTTTATCTTTTTTTTGGAGACAGAGTCTTGCTCTGTTGCCCAGGCTGGAGTGCACTGGTGCAATCTAGGCTCATTGCAACCTCCGTCTCCCAGGTTGAAGCGATTTTCCTGCCTCAGCTTCCCGAGTAGCTGGGACTACAGGCGCCCACCACCATGCCCGGCTAATTTTCGTATTTTTAGTAGAGACGGGGTTTCACCATATTGGCCAGGCTGGTCTTGAACTCCTGAACTTGTGATCCGCCCGCCTCAGCCTCCCAAAGTGCTGGGATTACAGGCGTGAGCCACCACACCTGGTGGGATTGCTCTTTCTGATGTCCACAAGAGACACAAGGCTGTAGCCTGCTTAGTATTTTCAAAATTTATCCTTCAGATTTGATCCATCTGTGAACCAGAGAATATCAACATTTTTACATGATGTCTCCTATAAATCCTGTCTGGACACCAACAGCTCTTCTGTGAGTAGAATACAGTGATGAAATATTTCATCTGTTGTTTCAGGAAGTTGCACTGCAGGATTAAGAGGATTACAGATAGAGAGGGCAGTATATGAAGCAAACAGTACAAGTATGTCATAAGAAACCAAGCTATTAACGGAAAATTGCTGTGTATTATGTGAATTCAAAAGAGCTTCCACAGAATGAGGAGCCTCCATTACAATTTTCTGAGTAATTGTAAGGAGCATGGCAGTGGCGAAAATGGCCCTCAGACAAAGAGGTCACCCATGTGTTACAAAGTCTAATTGCTGACTGTAATAACCCATAGCCCTACGTTGTCCTCCAGTTTTTTGGGTTAGAACACCAAGGGAACTGCCATAGCTTGCACGAACAAAAAACTGCAAAAAACAAACAAAGGAAAAACAGCAGCTAATAATTTGCATGGGCCAAAATGGGGGCTTGTAAGATTTTTCTTTATTTATTATTTGTCCTTCTGATGTCCAATGTATGAGGTTAGGTTGATCTTTCTACAATGCATATAAAGTCTGTGGCATTAGAGAAAAATTGGACATCCAGCTATGGCAGTAGCCACCCAAGCCTAAAATCCCCTTGAATTTTTTTTTTTTTTTAATTAGATAGAGTTTTGCTCTTGTTGCACAGGCTGGAGTGCAATGCTGAGACCTCGGCTCACTGCAACCTCTGCCTCCCAGGTTCAAACAATTCTCCTGCCTCAGCCTCCTGAGTAGATGGGATTACAGGCATGCACCACCACGCCTGGCTAATTTTGCATTTTTAGTAGAGACGGAGTTTCTCCATGTTGGTCAGGCTGGTCTCGAACTCCTGACCTCAGGTGACCCATCTGCCTCGGCCTCCCAAAGTACTAGGATTACAGGTGTGGGCCACTGCGCCCAGCCGGAGAT